GCAGGCGGCCTGCGGAGGGCGGCAGGTCTGGCCTCTGGGTTTTGCTGGCCAAAAGCCGCTCAGCTGGGGCATCAGCACATGTGTGGCAGGAGCTGCCTCAGGGTAGAAGCTTTCCTGATTCCTGCCTGGAGCAGATGGATCACACCCAAAACCTCCTCCCCAAGCGGATCTTTTCCAGCCTTCCCTTGAGCTCTGATGCTCTTCCCAGCTCTGGGCACAAGGAAAAACTGAATTTGGTTAAATCCGGCACAAATCCAGGCCGCTCTTCATTTTTTCGTTTTCTCTCTCAGCGTCAGTGGGGGAGGGAGAAGCCCACAGGCTCTGCACTGAGCAGAGGCACTAATCATATGCAAATTGCACCCCTCCGTTGGCACTAATAGTTTAATCAAGGGAGATTTTAAATAATGGGCACTAGCAGTGCCATCAGAAGCAAGCCTGGGGTGGCTCGGTCTTTTTTTTTTTGAAGCACAAAGCGTTACTGATGAGGGATCCCACTCCCTTGGGGTCTTCTCCTCTTCCATCCCATTGTCAACGTGTGCAGCAAAGCCAACCCTGATGCTGCTGGCTTCGGTGGCTGCCTGGACCTGCCCTCCTCTTCCTCCTGCTCCCGCTCGCTCCCAACATTTCAAATAATAATAATAAAAAAGCCCCTTGTAGTTTTTCCATGGCAACGCGGATCACAAACACCGGAGCCATCGGCTCCTAAGGGATGGGAGGACTAAAGCGTGTTGGGCTGGGGGGGAAAGACAGAGGGATTACACGCGATTTGACTCTCGGGGAAGGATTAATATGCTTTGGGGAATTAAATACACCTTTCCAGCAGGGTCCCTCCATCCAAACCTCCCCTTTTCTTACCACATGCTGCTTAATGCTGCCTAATCCCATCAAGTCCTGCTCACACAGGAGCCTGATTGCTGATATCATTAGCAAATGCTAACGATGGTTAGGAACCATCCCCAAAGCCCCCCTGGATTCAGAGATCGGCCATTTTAACAACAAAAAGAGGAGAAAGGGGGAAGAAGGTGCTGCTGGGATGGTGTGCAATGGAGACCCCAGCCTGAGGGGGTCCAGCCTGGTCCCTGCTCCAGCAGCTCTGGTCACCGCTCGGCAGAGGTGGCACTGGGGCCAGGTACCACAGCTGGAGCCTGGAGGTGCCACCAGAACCCCTGCTGACCCCCAGCATCAGCTCTTATTCCACTTGGCCTCTGAAATCTGTTGTGATAAACATTTGATGAGCTCTGCTCCCCCCTCTTTTTCTGCATATTTTCCAGCATTTTTCTCTGATCTTTTTATAGATTTCACAGGGGGAAAAAAAAAGGGAACAAAGGGAAATAGTCCTTTCTGGGTTTCTTCTTGTCCACCGTGCACAGAGGCCAGTTTTGCACTGATTTATTCACAGATACTGGCAGGACTGGGAGGAAGGGTGGAATCAGCTTAAAGTCGTTTCCATCTTCAGCTCCTCTCCTGCTTCCAGTGATGATCAGTGCTGGCCCCAATGTAAGAGCAGGCAGGTCTCCTCCTGAAGTTTATTCTTACCCTCCAGACTCAGATGTTGGGGTCTTACTCTTCAGACCTATGTCTCCCCATAATTTGCTCCAAAAAGTTCAGATTTAGGGAAAAACTAAACCCTGGGCAGTGCTCTGCAGGCAGGGCTAACACATCGGAAGGGGTTGGGGTCGGGAAGGGTTGGGTGCCTGGGCTGGGCTGGGTAAAAGCCCCTCACCAGCATCCTCAGGTTGTGTTTAAGCTCGACCCGGCCTTGTTTGTACTTGGGAGTTTATCACTGGGGGAAGATGACACTTAGGGGAGGTTTCAGGAGATGTGGGCTGGAGGAAAACCAAGAAAATGGGCTTGGGGCAGCGTTCCCTGTCTTGATTTTCCAGGACGGCTGCACCAGTGGTTTTCAGAGGAAATGGAAAGAATGAGGAGAGGAACAAAGGGCTGTAATGCGCTGAAGTGCTTGTTTTCGTCATTTCTCCAGCACACGCAAGCTGTGTAATGTGCCAAAATTGAACCATTACTTTCCCCTGAGGCAGAGGAGATGGGCTTTTCAGGGGTCCACATGCCCCAGACTTGCTGAGCTGGGTCCAGCAGGACCATCTGTCCTTTCATCCATCCTCTCCCAGCTCCATGGTCCGTCCCCATCACCCTCCTTTCCCCGCAGGAAGGGGAGTGGGTGCCATCTCCCCAGCTTCCTGGTGCCCTCTGCACCCCGTCTCGGTGCCTCAGACACCCACGGCTTTGTACAGGAGATGGACAAGCCCTAAGCATGGGTCTCCCAGACCTGCAGGCTGGCGCTGGGACGCAGGAGATGCTCCCCATCGGCGCAGGGACATGTCAATGGGGACCACTCCGGCTGTGTGTGGGTAGGGGGAGATTTCATCTCCCAGTTGGGCTCGTGTCCCAGCCCCAAACTCCTCCTGCCTGAGGCACAAGTTCTGTACAGGTTTGAGGGTTTTTTTCCATCATTAATTCAGTAAAGCAGCAAAATATTTTGAGGTGGGAGTTGGTTTGTTGTTTGGTTATTATCTTTCAAAAACCAGGAGGAACGGGAGCACCTGCAATTTCTAGGTGCTGCTAAAGGGGGGTGATGCTGGCTGTCCTGGGACGTGGTGAACCTCATGCTCCCAAATCCCCAGGGGACATGTCTACCCACCTCCATGTGCAGCATCCCAGCCACTTGCACCCCATGGGCTCTGGCTATGGTGTGAGGGTGCCCCGGCATCCTCCTGTGTCTGATCCTCCACCCTCCTCTCCGCAGCAATACTTCATCCTCCTCATCATCACAGACGGGGTGATCAGTGACATGGATGAGACGAGACACGCTGTGGTGCAGGCATCCAAGCTGCCCATGTCCATCATCATCGTAGGGGTGGGCAACGCTGACTTTGCTGCCATGGAGTTCCTGGACGGGGACAGCCGGGTGCTGCGCTCCTACACCGGCGAGGAGGCCGTGCGCGACATCGTCCAGTTCGTGCCCTTCCGGGATTTCCGCAATGTGAGTGTGGGCAGCGGGGAGGGATCACAGGGGATCTCAAGCCTGGACATGAGCCTGGATGCGGAGCAGCCCTGCTAGAGGCAAAAGGTGGAGGGTTGGCACCCACCTGCCCTACTCCAGCCATAAACGCCACAGCTCTCAGCGATGCTCTGGCATCATGGAAATCGGGGCTGCAGGCAGGGGCAACAGTGGTCTGCATCTCCATCACGTGCTCCATCTGCACATCCTCCTGTCTCAGCTGCCCCGCCAGGCAGGTCAGAGCAAAAACCAGTTCATTATAATTAGTTGAAGTTAATTAGTTGATTGTCCTGTGC